TATTAACCCACTTGATTCTAAGAGATGGATATTAAATGACTGGATAACAACATGGGCAATTAGGGATTGTCAAATCCCAGTATATTTATCTGCATTGGAACAATATGGGAATGATATTCCTCAAGAAATATTGGCGGATTTGGGTTTATAAAAGATGAGCTCGGCTATTTCATCTAATATTTTAATATTCAATTTAAACTAACCATTTTATTATACAGCAAAGACTTAGTGTTAGCATATAATGACAGACAACACCCTAGCGAGTAATATTACATGAAAAAGTATTGAGAAGGCACAACTTAAAATAATAAGAGAGGCATTATACATTCGATATAAAAAAGATAGCAAGCTAGTTACTGAATATGCTAATTATGTAAAAGTTTTGCGTCATGAGGAAAATTCTGATGAGTATGTAAAATCAACCGCTATAATACTATTTTCAAATGAGGATACTTATGAAAGAAGAATGAGCAGATATCGGAAATAATACCAAGGTAAAAAAGAACTCTTTGCTAGTATTGAAAACTTATACAGCCTTTCCTATACTTTATCCAAAGAAGAGCGTCCTATGACTGAAGAAGAAATTAGCAAAACAATAGAAGAGCTAATTGTGTATGATAATGAATAAAATTAAAAACAAGCGGAAATTTATTGATTGAGTATCCATTTTGAAGGCAAATCATAATATTTAATCACCATCAATTCCTCCTGTACAAAAGATCTATCTGGACCATTACCCTCTTCATCTATTAGCCAGTACAAGACCAGCTGATTTTTTTGTACAAAAATTCTCCTGACATTAAAAATTTCAGGACTCCAGTTCATATCAGTAATTCTTCTTCTAGCAGGATCATGTTCTAATTCACCTGGTTTAAGAAAATATCTCACAAAATCATAATAGGATAAACAAAGTTCGTCATAACCAATAGGCCTTCTATATTTTACGGCTGACTTAGCAAATATCTTCTCCCCATTTAGTGCTCTTTCTACCGCTTCATTAGGAGTCATATCTATTAACCGAGTAGTGATATTATTAAATATATCATCATTAGCATGAAGGCTCCTAACCCAATCTCTAAAACGTTCTGATAAAGGTAGCAGAAAATCTTTAGCATCTTACTGAATATAAGCAGGCTTTTCAAATTCCTGGTGATCACGTTCGGCTATAGCATTACTTTCTTTAGTTTTGGCATATTGTATTTTTACATCATGTTTAAAAAATAAACTCTTACAATCCCCCATATATTTTGTCCCCTTATCTGAATTAAAACAATTCGGCCAAGAGAGAGGCTCCTTAGGATCATCATAAATTTTTTGAATATTCTTAGCCATTTGTGCAGAAGATTTATCAGTCAACGCAAAACTACGATGATACCTAGTTGCAACATCTTTAATAACACCCCTATACTTGTAAATCCGATTACCTACTTTATCATGAGGCATAGGGGTAGTATCAGATTAGTGTACTTCATTTAAAAATTGTATATTATTAAAGGAAGCATACTGAATAAATCTAGGACAAGGTTTATGTATCTGATGCATAGCCTGTCTATCAAGCCAGTCACGCACCTCATCAAGTAAAAAATCATACACAACCTTTTTAGAAGCTTCATGCAATTTTTTCGCAGTCCTCTGATAGCCCAAAGGCTGATAATAAATCTTCTGCAAAGTAATAGAAATATCAAGTTTTCGAGCTTCATCCGATTCTATCTGAATAATAGGAATTAACATGGACGACCCCACTTTTATAGAAATCCTAAATACTAATAAAGAGTTGCACAAAGAATTGGAGGATAAAATAACCAAAAGCAAACTTAAAAATAAAAAGCTAAAATCACTTTCTAGGGAGTTAGAAAACTGTTATAAGACATTATCTCACTAGGATTCAATAATAATAGCTTACGAAGATGAGATAGCATCTCTTAAGTCTGAGATAAAATCTCTTAAATAGCGTCTCCACAAAGCATTACAGGATTTAAGGCATAAAGATAATGCAAGTACTGCTCAAGATATCCATATTTTAAGGTTAGAAGACATGGTTGAACAGCTTAAAAAGTAAATTAGGGAGATTACAGATAAAAAATTATCCCAAATAAATAGTTCACTAATAGTATTACTAGAACTTTTAAGAGATATTGCTACAGCTATAGACCGTGTTGAATTATATATTGATGGAGATATATCATTTGACCCTAAAAATACCTTGAATGGTATACGAATAATATTAACAACTATTCATACTCATATGCAAAGGATATCAAATGAGGCCTTACATTATCAAGGCTTGCTTAATATGGCTAATGGACAGGTCAATAATCTTATGAATAATATGGCAAATGTTAGAAATGAATGTCTTCGAAGAGCTCAATTATTAACTTTAGCATATAATAATAAAGCAAATGAGCGTTGGATATGGTGACTTAGAACTCAGAGAGCAGAAAGGCGTAACCATATATTATTACAAGAAAAGGTAGGTCTTCGGTTAATAAATCGAAGGCGTAAAGCTAAGGCTGACTTGGCAGAATTTAATCGGGCTTGGGTATTTAATCGGTATCAAAAATGGAAGACTAGGGAAATAAATTTGAGGCAAATTATTTTAAATTTACAAATTAATAATCCTCTAGGAAATATGGCAGAAGCTAGAAGACAACCATTATATGATATAATAGCAACTAATTTTACAAAACATGATCAATATACTGGGCAGGAACCCTCCAACAAATACTTAGATAAAATCTGAAATTCTATTTCGCATTTAGAGCCAAATATGACAGCACTTGAAAATGTCAATGCTGGGGACTTTGATGATGCGATTAAATTTATTCTTTTAAAATCCAAGTTAGGAAGAAAATATATACCAGTTCTAGCAAATGATTCCTATACTAACCCTGTAGCTCCTATTAATTCTCCAGCTACATTAAGAGCATAGATGTGAATAAAATATCAGCGTGAAAATATAGATACTCAACAATCTGCAATTCAGAGATTATCCCAAGAAAGATTTTTACCAACAGATAGTCCTGACACATATGAAAAAAGAATTCGATTATTATTAATGGGTGTAGTAAATAATGATGCAACAGCTCTATCATTTCTAAAAAATCACTTATCAGATGACTTCTATACATGGATGAAAATCACTAACCCTGCTGATATAGATGCATACTTTACAGAACTAAAGAATCTATGGTTAGAATGTAATCCTGTTATAAGTTCAAGTGGAGTGGGTTACTATGGAATCGCACCTATTTAGCAAACAATAAAGACACTACCCATTCTGAAAAAAGATGATTTTAAAACACGTCTAGCAAAAGATTTAGCATATGCTGGGATAGCAATAGATGATGAAACTTTAGAAAAATTCATTTACGAAAAACTTGGTAGAAGGCTGAGAGGCAAAACAGCTTATGTTAGAAAGAGTCCCTTCGCAGAGCCCCAGGTTAGAAAAACAAATGTTACAAAGAAAGCTATTAGAAAGTTAGTACAAAAAGCATCAGTTAAACGAATTGTTCGTCTTTGCTCAATCTGTAAAAAGGCTGGTCATACAAATATTAATTGTCCTGGAGTCAGACGAGTTAAAAAGCTTAATCATGTATATGCTTTAGCGCCTTCAGCCCAAGATAAGGAAGAACCTAAAGATTTCGAAGAAGAATACATAGATAAGGAAGAAGTTGGTGAGGAGGAAGAAGAGGAAATAGAAGAAGATGATGAATATATTGAATATATTGAATATATTGATGAAAATGATGACGAACCTCGAAATTGCTATGCAACAAAAAAAAAGTAAAGCGAAGTGGAGTACCAATGAAAAAGAGGTCAAAAAAAGGAGCAATCAAGAAGTCTCCTACTTCCAAATCTCGTGCTGAAAATATCAAAGTATCAAGCAATATAGTCAACTGTAGCCAAAGGGATTCTTCGAATCAGGCGCTTCGCATGGCTACAGACCTAATATATTAAATAGTCTTAAAATTTTCAATATCATTATTAGTTCCTTATTATCCTAGAGAGATTCTTATAGAAATTTCGAAAGTTATTAATATGATATTTCCCAAATTAAAAGGCCATTGCTTGAATATTGTTATGCCAAATGATACAGTTAAAAGAAGGGAATTAGCATGGGAGAACATTGAAAGTAATTTCCAAGACATCTTATTTCCGCTATTACAAGCAGTAAATACTGAGCAGAAGCCCTTTTTAGATGTGATGAGAAACTCATGCGAAGCTCCTCATGAACCTGTTCCATCTCCTTCTCAGACAAACAATATTATGGAAATAGAATCTTTACTAGATAATAATCACTCAGGAGGTGGGCATACTTTGAATCATGCTATTAAGGCATATGCATAATATCACTCAGCTGAAAAAAATAGTCAAATATATTGGCCTAAGCCTTTAAAGATAAATTTTTTACAAATAAAAGATGCCGATGATGTAGCAACTATCTCCTGTAAGGTGGGAAGCATAACTATACCTATGCAATAATTGATAGCAGATCAGACTCCTCAATTATTTCAGAAAATATTGCAAAACATTTGGATCTAAAAATAGATAAGAAAAAGATTCACAGACTTAATGGAGTCGCAAGTAAGTCCCATTCCCTTGGTACAGTTGATAGTGTTCCTGTAACTATTGAGAATGAGGAAAATAGAGACACTATTCTAGATGAATTCTCTGTCATCCATACAGAATATGATAATAGTGGAAAAGAATTATTACTATTTATTCTTGAAACAAAATGGCAATATCAGGCTGGATGGGAGCCTTTAATAAAAGGAGAATTTAAAGCCACATGTAACGGAAAAACTATTACCATCCTTTATTAGTTCACAAGTCCCAACGTAATGTTTTACTGTAGGAAAGGAATCAGAAAAATGGTTTCCTATAGAGACAAAAAAAAACTAGCCTGCAAAATAAGTTTTCACGCTGATCGTACATGTCAGTACTGTAGAAAGGAAATCAGATATCCCTCTATTCTTAAAAGGCACTTGAAGTTAAAAAATATGTGTAGTGAGCGGTCTAGTCAAATTAATGATCGAGTTAGTCTAGCAAGTGATTGGGTTAGCCTAACAAGTGATCAGGTTAATTTGATAAGTGATCAGATTAGTCCAATAAGTAATCAGGTTAGCTTAACAACTGATCAGATTAGTGAAAAAATATGGTGCCTATTCGGCTAACATTGGTTTAGACACGCATCTGAAAAGTATATTTTTTTTAGATACTTAAATCATTCTTTGCTTTTTCTCGCTTTCCAGTCCATAATTCAGTGTCGTGATGGGAAAAGTATGAACTTGGTTCTATTGTCGCATCTCTTCCAACATGAGGGTTAAAAGAAATAATCTTATCATTGAGAGCAATAATCTTTAGGTCTTTGG